TAAAGTGAAGAAAGAATGTGATTGGTCAAGATCGGTTTCCATAGTTTGTACCATATGGTTGGTTTCTATTTGAACCAACCCCTCTCTCTCTCTCTCTATATATATATATATATGGTTTTTTTATATCAATCTATTTTAACTCACTTCTGTACATATAAATGAGAAGTGGGATTATATATAACTAAAAAACTTTTGATGCATTGATTGAGAACAAAATAGAAATATAAGAAAATAATAACATATCATATAATTACATTACAAACGTAAATGAGGTGTTGTTAAAAATGGTGTATACCTAAGGTAAATATGGGACATGTTGCCAGTTAAAAAGAAAAATCGATTGATCATGAAAAACGGTCAAACCCAATTAAATTGGATTGTTTTCGATGTTTTAGACGGTTTGGTGGTACAGTTTGATCTAGAAATAGCCAAACCGTGCAGATTTGTCCAATTTGCGGTTCATTTTTATTTTGGTGACACACACATACACATTCACACACACATATATATAATACATAGTTGTATAGTTGTATTTGTGTTTTGAGATTATATCATTTTATGATGTTAATTAAAAACTATGATCATATATTCATATTATTAGTTAGCGGAGATCGTCATTTGGTTTACTTGTATCTTAAATTATATTTGGATTTTTTTTAATTTTATATTAGTTCATAGTTTGAACTTTGAAGTCATAACAAGTCTAAATTGTACAGATTATTTAGACCATATTATAATTTTGTTATTTAGTCTGATCATTTTATATTAACATCATATAATTTGAAAGATTTTTTGAAACAATAATGACATTTTAATATGTTTAAAGGGATTATACTATGTATGTTAGACATTGAACACCCATATATGATGAGATAGGGTCTTATAAAAACCCTTTATAATAAACAAAATTGATGCAATACTAAAAGCATTCAATATAGTAGAGTTTTTTCATTAACCTTTTGAACTTTTTTATAACTCACGTAAAAAACGTAACTTATAATTGTATAAATAAAAAATATTTTTTTTTTTCAAAAGAAAATTGATTCAAATGACCATTTTCACACCTAAATTGGTCTCATAAGCATTTCTCTCTCGAGTTTTTACCAAATGTCACTATTTTCACAATATCTAGCCTCACAATATTAGTGAAAAGGAAAAAAGAATCAAATTCAACTCAAATATGCAATTTACGGCTACCAGGTTCGTAATTGCGATGATAAACTGGTTGAATTTGATTTTTTTGTCTTTTAACTAATATTGTGGACTTAAATATTATAAAATAGTGACATTTAGATAAACACGAAATTTTTTTGACTATGAAACCAATTTAAATGACAAAAATGATTATTTGAATTAATTTTTCTTTTTCTTTATCAATGTTTTTCCTCATAATGCCATGTAACCAAAAAACTTGGCAACAAGCATCTTTGTGGATGCTCTAATGATTGAGTAAAATAGTTGGTCAATACAAATAATTTGATAAGCTGCTTAGTATGGAGATATACAAAATTCAAAATTAAGAAGCCAAATTTGTCAACAAATGAAAGTGAAAGGGGGCAAAATGAAAATATTAGAGAGAGAAAGGGAAGAATTTTATAAGAGAGAAGCTCTTATTAATAAGAAGACTGAAAACACGCTTATGTTTTGATGAGATTGACCGATGGCAATCGTTGACGGTAGACATTCGCCGGACGGCGGCAGCGGCAGCGGTAAAGTTTGGGGATTATTTAAGCTACCGTTTCGGAGCACAAATATTAGTACTACGCATACAACTTCATCGTCTTCTTCCTACCAAATTGAAGGATCCAACCCTCACAACAACAACAACAACAATAACTATAGCTCCAGCTCCACCGCCTCCGTTTCATCGGTGGCTAGATCTTTGCTTCCAACACGGCGTCGCCTTCGACTTGATCCGAGAAATAAGCTCTATTTTCCCTGTATGAACACTCGCCTTTATTACTGCTCCCTTTTCTCCAATAACTACCGACTTTTAGCATTATTTGTTCTATATCCGACCTATTTGTTGTTATGTCCATGAGATCTACTTGATTTTCTCAACTAACTTCAAATTTTTTGTTTTTAAATGTTAGTTTCTTTAAAAAACTTGTTTTTTTTTTGTTTGTGACTTGAAAATAGCGAAATCGAATCACATTACTTCTTGAAGATTTTGACATTTAAGAATGCTTTTAATAAATTCGATGATGTTAATTGGTTTCTTCCTGTATCAATTGTCAATTCGATCGGGAACCAATGGATTTACTTAAATATGATTGTGCCAACACTAGTAGTGGTTGTGCATGCCTTTCTCTTATCAAATCAATATACCTGGGTTGTAATTCCTTCTTTTTAAACTGATTGTATTATGAAATCTATATTACACACGAGTTATTAGCGAGGAATTGGAATTAATGGCCTGTAAAACTTAACAGACCTTTCTTATAGTTGCTTGGTTAAGTTGACTTTTATGTTTCTTACAAACATGGGTCAACAAATCATGAGTTTTTTTTTAATTTATCTATTATTAGATCCATGGAATTAGTCATAGACAGCGGCAGAGAAATGTGAGAGTGGGGCCACCTGGTTTGGTAATGAAAACAATTATAAACTACAAGGGGAGTTGTTTTTGGATAACCATGTAGGATTAAATAAGCTGTCAAAATCAGGGAAGTAACCTGAATCCTTAGGACCACACGTAGGTTATAACAATATGGTTTTTTTTTACCATATTTAGTATAAAATGCAGCTAAGCATGTCTGTTCTTGACCAATCAATATGAAAATATATGACCCATAGGTTTTAGTTATAACTAGGAAATTGAAAGAGTTGATTATTAATGAAACAAAACTACATCAAAGAACTTCAGAATCTTAATATTAAAAATCAAAGCAGAGAAAGAAGTAACACAAAGCGGGTTGATCAATAAGACAACAAAGAGACATCTTAATTCATACAAAGAATATAAATACAGAGTGGAATCAGGGATAATATGTATTGGACCATTTTTAAGAAAAATAAAAGCAGAAAAGTATACAATCCTTCCTTGCCATGAAAATTGCAACAATTTTCAGTTTTGAATCTTCTATATAACTTCAAATTTTCTTCTTTGGCAAACTTTCAAGTTATACTACCTATTTACCTCTATTGTAATAATTACAAAGTATTTATGATATTGGTTTTGATGATCAAAACTTATTTTAATTTGAAAACCAAGAGATGTTTGAACATACTTTTGCTTTATATTGTCTTGATAGAGAGTTCCTTTAGGCTCTTAATATGCGTCAAGGTCAGTTGTGATTTTCATGGGATTGAACGGATACTTTTTCCTCTTTTCTTATCTTAAGCAACATAAAGGTGGGTATAACTTGAAAGCAGAATTCCCTTGATTGATTTAAGTTTTGTATCAATGAAAATGAGGCCTGAATGCTGAATCTCACTTTGCCTTTGGGTGGCATGCTTTGCAACTACTGTGTAGAAGAATTATGAAAGGCCTTTCTGATCTATCAGCAGTTGTGTCTGTGCTGGCTAGTAGTGGTAGAGTGAATTGAGAAACCATACTTCTGCTGGTGCCTGGGTATCATACTTGTGCCGTATCGGCAGTTATATTAGTGTTGGCAATTAGTGTAGGGAGAATTGAGAAACCATATTTCTAGTAAGGCCTTGGTGCACGTTAGCAATACTTGTTAAAATAGTCTCAATGCAAGTTTGTTTTCTGACTTCTAAAAGTCAGTATATCCAAAAAGGAAAAAAACTTCTAAAAGCGCCTTTTCACTTCTACTTTAGAGTGCAGACAAACTATTCCTTGTTTCTGAAAAGTTCAAATTCCTTTTTTAGCAATGATATTCTGTAGATGTGATAACCATTTGATATTGGCAAGGGTTGTAGCTTGTAACCCCAGCAAGTGCTGTAACTTGTAACCAATTATCGTTATCCATTTTCTAACAAAATATAAAAACAAACATGCTTACTTGTTCTCTTATGTAAGGAATCACATAGACCAGAGTCGGTGCTTTATGAAAAAAAGATGGTCTGACTTGGATTTGCTACCCGTGGTAATAATCTAGCTGGAAAACCAGATATCCTTTCGAGCATCTAACATCTAGCATCAATGTGATGGATATAAATCTTTATGTGCTGCTATTCATATGTAGACGATTGATACTTTAATTTAGGAGAAGCAACTGGTATAAACATAGAAAACGTGTCTAAAGTGCTCTACGTCCATCCCTCATATTGTTTGCATGGATCAAAGAAGTTTTACTGATAACAAAGTTGTGGCGATCATTCATTATAATGCATTAAGGAACTGGAAAACTGGAAATATAATGAGATTTATTCTTGACAGAAGAAAAGGGTTGAAGATTTTTATCTAAAGATGCATGTGGTTCCCGTGGTGTTTGTGACAAGGACTTCTGTTTGATTGATTAATTTATGCAAGTACTTTTTGATAGTCTCATCTTAAAGTCAACAATTAAATATTATGTTGACAATGCAAGAAAAAATTCATCCGATTATAATTTTTCTAACTTCAGAAGTAGCTTTATCATTCTTGATACATGAGATTTGCTTAGCGATAGAGACCCTCCACACAACCTGTACTTGAACAATCCCCAAGGAAAGCTACTTACCTATCTCAGCAAATTATGATTAATACTCCACTACAATGGACATGGCGGCCTTAGACGTTTCTGAGGAAATGACATTTGATAGGAGCTCTTGGAGATGTAGGTACAAGGGTAGCAGACTATGGGTAGGGACCTGTAGCATGGATGGAAGGAGGGAGTTTGGAGAAGTTGACGGTGAGACAGGGGAGGGGTAGTGCAGTGGCAGTACATGAGATAGATAGTTGTCTTAGTTTTTCCTGCTTATCATATCTATGATTGTATCTACTCATGTGACCATTCTATTGTACACTAGTCTTAAATTTTATTTTTGTACTAGTAGTTGTCAGGAGTGTGCTTCATGTTTCCTTGTGATTTTTAACCTGTTTTTCTCATATTTGTCCGTGTTCACGTGTTGCCTTGTTTGTTTTGTATCCATTGCTTGTTTGCACACACTCCCACCTGTAGCTTGCTCTTTTGCTTCTTTTAATTTTTGTCTTACAAGCTGGAGTCCTTCATAGAAACCACCTCTCTACCCCTTGGGATAGAGGTAAGGTTTGTGTACATCCTACCCCCAGACTCTACAAAATACAGTTTATATATGTCATGTACAACCTGCGTAATTATAGCAGTAGGATTCACAACCATCTAATGCTTAAAGAACTCATTGTTTCTTTCTGCATGAATAAACTACGAGCTTCATCTTTCTGAATTAAAACTGATTTTGGTACCTCGTAGTTCCCAGCTATACACTCCCACTCTAAATCCCAATTGGTGATCTTTATTACCTCCTTGATTAAGATGAAGCAGGATACCTATGATAACTTTACTAAAAACACACTCAGCAACAAGATGATTGCTTGTGTCAGCTTCTTGCAGCATTCCCCACATGGTCCTTGGTGTTAACAGTTTAATCCATTCATAAGAGCCAATCATGTAGACATAAAACAACTTGGAAAACTAGATCTATTTTTGAGAACTGTCCACCAGGACTTTTTGATGCTTCCTACTCTGAAAGTCCAAACTGATGCCATGAATATTTGGCACTATGCTTGCCTTCAGAAGCTCTACTCTTTTGGATTCTTAAGAGGAATAGCGAAGCTGAAGTCAACAAGCTGAGTAGATTTTATAAGATACGAACTGCAGTTTTGTTATTCGATCAGCACATTGACTTTGGCATCCAGAGATATATCAGAATTGAACACCATTCTTGGACCACATGCTACAGCAGCAGACCATTTTGGATGACAAGAGTCAAATAAAAGGGAAGTGGACATTGCATTGTCAATTGCATGCTTCATAAACCTCTACAATACCTGAAACAAGAATCAGGCATCTTGACTTGCCAAATGTTTTTCCAGTTAAGAAAGCTTAGGTTCATGAAAAAATTAAATGAAAACACACTATACAAGAATGAGATAACTAGATTTAGCAGTATGTGGTTTTGACAGAGCAAGTTGTTCTTGCTAGAGTACAATGTCTAAATTAGTCGTAAATTCAAGCAACTGGGGCCTACTTTTTATGGCTTAGTTTCATGTAGGGGGTGTTAACATGTCAAAGGTGGTTCAAATGTTCCTCAAAGTTGTAGAGAAACCAAATAAAACAAATTCCTCTATGGATGCTGGTTTTCTTTTTCTCTGGTATTGTTATATTACTGTGATAAGTTGTTCATTAGTATTTCATGGCTTATCCATGCTACATTATGAGTGTGCAGAGGTCCCTAGACAGATTTGTTTTTGTATGAGTTATTTGATCTTTATCTTCCAACTAGTATGAGTGATGCATATGTCATGGTCATGGATGAGTACTATCTCGGGTCTTTATGGTATGAATTATGATCACCTATGAACTAATATATGCATGCAACTCGTGAAAATCGAATTATGTTTGCTTCACAACTTATACTTGCGATTTATGTACTTCCAATTACCAAATTTTCTTTTTGGAGCATTTTGGCGTCTCCAGTTTCTATGTGGATGCGTTAGTGCTCCTTTAGGCTGATTTTATCCATTTTATTGTTAGTTTTATCATATTTATTTACGATGCTTATAGTTGGTTCTTTTATCGTTTTATGTTACCTACGGAAATTGAAAATATTACCTTTTTATTGCTTTAGCTGTATGGTTAATAACATATCATTTCATTTTGGTCTTTAACTTTCTAGATGAACCTGGCAAGCAAGTCCAAAGTGCTATTAAGATAAAGAACACCAGCAAGTCTCATGTAGCTTTTAAGGTATGACTATACACTTGTTTTGGACTGCTTTTAGTTTTATGTATTTTTCATAAAGTATGATGTCACAAATTTTACTTGGTACATGAACCTTTTTCTTTTTACTCAAATCCAACTTTGTGTTTTGTACCTTCATCTGATATATGTTGTTTTCTTGTATTGCTGAAGTTTCAAACAACTGCGCCAAAAAGCTGTTTCATGCGTCCTCCCGGTGCTATTCTTGCTCCTGGCGAGAGTATTATTGCAACTGGTAATGAACTTTGGTATACATGTTTAATCAAACATTCTGACGGTTTATATTGTTTGGAAAATTCAATGTTGTTTGATGGATTTTTATTTATTTATTAATGAATTTAGCCTCTTTTCCTGTGCTTATTGCTTACAAGATTCATTTTTTCTGTTTTGATGGCTGTGATAGTTTTTAAATTTGTGGAGCTTCCAGAGAACAATGAAAAACCAATGGATCAAAAGAGAAAGGTTAAATTCAAAATCATGAGTTTGAAAGTGAAAGGGATTATGGATTATGTACCTGAGCTAGTGAGTTCTACACCCTCATTCAATATGTACTTCCTTTCTCTCTTTATATGATTTATGGCTGATGGGATTGGAGATCAAGTTCCAACATTAATCAGAGTAGCATTATTTTTCCGAAGAGCTAGTTTTATCTTACACTTGTAACATTAATCAGTTTCTATCTTTTTGACCCTACCAATAACTTAAGCCAAAATAAAAAAAATTCCCCACCATTTTTACAACTTCCACACTTTTGAATTATGCATATTCATTTACAAACAATTACGATACTTATTTATTATATTATAATGTTTCTCTTATGGAGTTTTCAGTTGAATACTACATGTAGTTAACAGAAAGTAACAAAGATGACTTAGTTTAAAACAAGCAGTGTGTAATGTGTTTGATATAATACAGGAATATATCACAGCCAGTCGAGGAAAGATTTGTTCACTATGGTTTAAGATGTTTTAGTTATTACGGATATACTCCAAATGGTTGCTAAATAAAATTTATTCTGTCTTGACTCAGTTTGACGAGCAGAAAGATCAAGTGGCGGTGGAACAGATATTACAAGTTGTGTTTCTAGATGTGGAGCGTCCTAGCCCCGTAAGTCCAAATTATGATGCATTCTTTTTGGATGTACAAGTAACAAGGATGCAGAGCACTTTTTCTTTAACCCCCTTCCATTGCATGAAAGCTCCAACAATTTTTCTTATGGGATTGTTCAGATCAGCTGCAAATGCTTCCTTCTTGAATAACTTTTAAGCTAAAATTACCTAGCTGTCCCCAAGTCTTTATAGAAAATGGCACCAAGTAAAATACTTATTTTAGCCTGTAAGGCTGTAACCATGCTTATTGAAATAAAAAAGACTTAAAACCTTGAGGGCCAGCTCAAGTGGGTAGCATTGGGCTCCTCCATAGGTCATCAGGAAACATCTTCGGGGTCCCATGGGATTGGTTTAGGTGCGTGTAAGTTGGCCTACACATCCACGGTTACCCAAAACAAAAGAAATAAAAAATTTAATGGAAATGAGAAGTAGGTACTCCAACATTTGAAAATATTTCCTGGCATTGTTTCTTTTATCTACTGCCTGCTTGTCACACTTTATTTTGTCATGTCAAAAGGGTATTTTGGACATTTGGGTAATGCTCAACTATTTCTATTAGGGGGCATTTGGCTTGTAGGAATGGAACGGATTTGGGAGGATTTGGATTTCAAATCTATTCCAATCACATGTTTGGTTTATCGGATTGTCCTAATTGAAATCCTAGGATTTAATTGAAATTCCTATGATTTTGAAATCCTTAGGGGTGCTCGGATTTCACGGAATTTCGTGGGATTGTATGAAATAAGGTTTTAAAAAATGTTAAAAAACATTTGTTTTGTAATAATCGATTAAAAAAATGTAATTTAGTTATTTTTATAATTATTTATAAGTAATGGAATTCAAATCCTACAAACCAAACTCACCAATGATTTCGAATCTATTCCAGTCCAAATCCCTCAAAAACAATCCTGCAAACCAAACGGACCGGCGTTCGATGGAATTGGAATTCATCAAATGAATTTGACTTTGTGGGAATGGAATGGAATCTGATGGAATTTGACCATGCCTTGTGATTGCGTTTGGTTGCATGGAATTGGATTAGGAAAGGAATCTGTAAGAAAGGAATTGAAATCCTAGCATATTGCCATGGAATTGTAAAATCTGTGCGTGAAGGAATCGACCGGAATTGAAAGGATTCCATAGTCTTATTCCATGAACCAAACACTCTTTTGGAATTTGGTCAAAGGATTGGACATTCCAATTCCTTTCAATTCCTATGCTCCAAACAGCCCCTTAATGTTCATAATCATGCAAAGGTAGTTGTAGTTCTCTACCACTGGTCACTTGATCAATGGTTATTTGACTGAGAATTCAAATCTAGTGGTTGTAGGCTTGAGTTTCGTTGCTTTTATTTTTTAATCTTAAATATTCATCGTTTAACTTTGCCTTCTTTGCACACTTTTCACAAACTGAGGGTCTTCACAGAAACAAAAGCTCTGCACCCCAGATGCCACTCAGGGTGGGATATACTAGGCTCATTTGGTTTAATTTTGCATTGCTTAAAGACAATGTTGTAACTTTTATGGGACTTTGTTGTTGTTGACCTCTATTCCTTTATGTTTCAAGGCCCTGGAAAAATTGAAGCGACAATTAGTGGAGGCTGAGGCTGCTCTCGAATCCCGCAAGAAACCACCCGAAGAAATCGGGACAAAAATTGTCGGTGAAGGCCTTGTCATAGACGAATGGGTGAGCTCTCATTTCTATTTAAAACTTATTGTATATATTAGGTATCCACATCTGGAGACCATTTTCTCAAGCACTATTTATACGTTTGTATGCTTGCTAACGTTCCGTTTTGCATTATTTGTGATCCATGTAGAAAGAGAGAAGAGAGAGATACCTGGCCCGACAGCAAGTGGAAGGCGTAGACTCGGTTTAATAACAAAAGATTCATTCTTTCTTGAATCATAAAACCGTTCATTTTGTATCATTTGGTTCCTGTGATGGTGTTATATAAGAAAATTAAGAGTTGGACAGATGACAATTGATGTTTACGTTGTAAAAAGCTTTGGTGTTATATACTAGGCTCGTGTGGTTTGGTAGAGGTCAGATTTGCATACATCCTACCTTAATACTTCATCTTCGAGTGAGATATACTGTGTTAGTTTGGTGTGGTTTGGTAGTTTGTAACTGGAGAGGTATATTGTATATTACTGTTACATATTCAACCTGCTCGTAAAAACGACATGAATCAACCAATAACGATTCGGTCGACAAAAATGAGTTCCAACTTCAATTTGATATACAAACCAAATCGTCAAAATGCTTTAATTATTTGGGGAATTCAATGACTTATGAATCAAGGTCGATCTGTTTTCTGTCAGTACAATAATCAGACCTACCTATCAAGAGTTCATCTTTCTGAAATTGTTGGATGCAAACATCAGATTTTTTTGAAAATTATTACAAAGAAATTATCGTTGGATTGAAAATGAAAAATAATTATATTTTGTAAAAGTGATGATGTAGAGAAATCATGGAGTAAATAAGAAAAAGACGTTAATCCATTATCCATGCTTAAGATACCCGGCCCTTAATAACTTTAATTTAGTTTGGTATCTTTATTATATTATAAACATTTGATAAAAACTCTTAAAAATCATTTTTTATGCATGAAGTACTATATATTGATGCATATTACTTACAATTCAAGATTACAAGTAAATTATGCATAAGTACAACTTATTAAAGCTTCATGTTCGAATTCGTGTAACTAACTGCGGATAAATATAATCAAATAGAGGATAAACATCTCATTTTAAAATACAAAATATAATTAGGATAATTATCGAGTTCTAACAAAATCATTAACTATTATTTATAAGAAAATTATATTACTAAACTAAATATAAATTACTTCGTTATTGAATTTAAATTAAATTATAATTAAAAAATTACACAAAAAATGAGGAATTTTAAATAGTTAATTTGATGCAAAAATCGATATAATTTTGTCAAAATTTTATGATATGTTCAAATTTATATTTTATTAAAAAAAAACATCATCGCTTTTTCAAAATCAGATAAGACCATATTATAACATCGATTGAGATAAAAAAATAAAATAAAATATTAAAATCAAAATGTATCTCGTTGTATTACGCGAATATCATTCTAGTATATGTATTATTAAAACCACATTTATCAAATAAGAACGTTAATGCTTAAAAATATGGTCAGTTTATTTTCATATAAAGTGGATGTGTATTCTTGTAATGATTTCTAATTAACAAATATATAAATTCAACAACAAAGTAGTGTTTTATGGACAAAAGGAAATTAGCCTTTTTCATTGCTTTTCCAAAACATTTTAACTTATTTTCAACATCTCCATTTTCAGAAATGTATTATGTTTTTTTTATAGAATTAAAAGAATTACTATGTTTTTATGCAATTAATTCAACTTTCTGAACACATATCGTATTATAAGTTTGTACATAAAAAATTCCATCCTCAATTTATTTATATTAAAAGTTATTGTTTGAGATTTTTGTCTAAAGGTTCCTCATAATAAAAAATACATTTCATTTTGATGCAGTTTTTCATTTTTAAAATGGTCGTTATAGATTTTACAAGAATCTTTATTATTCATGTGATAACAAATATTAATTTTTTTTTATTAACATAATTAAGATCTCTCTTGATAAATTATATGTGTTGTAGGATAAGTGTCCTATCGTCAAAATCCTGTAACGATAGAGATAGACATAAACTGATATAATGTATAACATGAAAACACAAATTACCTCGTTGATTCAAAAAAATACCCAAGGCTAATCTCTTATAGGATTTGTTGATTCGACGAAATACCGAACATAGGTTTCAAATTTGGAGTCATGAGAACTCAAAATTTGGGATAAAATCAAAGTTTTTGAAAACCCCATTCAGATTACACATGACTCATATAAAATCAAAGTTTTTGAAAACCAAGTCATGGCCCTCAAAAGAACAATATGGCTCGTCAAAAGCATTTAGAGTTATTTATGAACTAAATCATTATTCCTATGTAATTGTCCCTCTATTTAAAGAGGAATTTACAATTTCATTGTCTTTTCTCTTTAACTAGGGAATTTTACCGCGGTCATTGTTACTTAATGAAGATAAACATCAAGAAGTTTGTATTAAATATAAAGTGGTAAAAGTATCACAATAATTATGGTAGAGTTGTATGTTCGAATGTTTAGTTTTGTAAGCATAAAGAGAGTTACAATATATTGGTTAGGGGAAAATAAATATGTAGTGTAAAAGAATTTTAGGTTGTGATGGAGTATGTAATTTAAGAAATTATTAAATGAGAAGTTTAGAGATCATATTTTGTTATGAACACACTATTACATTGTGAAATGGTAGAAAATACATTCGGTAAATGTAGAACTAACATTTATGCTTTTGATTGTCTTATTATAAGAATAATATAGTCGTGTAATATATTGCATGTGAGAAATAAAAGTATATTGTATAAATAATTACTGTCAAATCAATATATTATTAGGTGAGAGAGCCACCTATTACTTTCTACCATAAACAATCCAATAAACTTGTGACATGGTTGAAAATCCGTTGCTATAAATTTGGTGTCAATATCGCTCTTTCTTTCATATATGCAGAGTTGTCAAAATTATCCAACAATGATGGATATACAACTTGAATCATGCATTGAATTGGGTCCTCCCATTGGTTTAGGACGATATCAGATAGAAGTTTGATTAACTCTCCTTAAATGTCATCATAAAGAGAACCATCTCCTAGCTGCAACAACCACTTGTCAAAAGGATCTATTTTACAAGCTTCAGGTTCTGATATATCTCCATCATATAGCCTCATATTTTGATTAAGGTCAAGAACGTTGAAATATGACCATAAGTAGGATGAACTGAGAGAAGTATCAATGATGTCACTTTTAGTTCCTTTTGGAACAACGGGCAAAATTTGGCGAAAATCCCCACCACAAACAACAGTAAGTCCGCCAAAAGTTTTTTCATTGCTATTGAGAAATCTTGTTGTAAATATGTCTCTCAAACTTCTGTCCAAAGCTTCAAAACAAAACTTATGTGCCATTGGTGCTTCATCCCAGATGATCAAAGATAAGAAGAAAAAAGATAAAACTGCAATAGACCCACATCATCAGGAAGAAGTCTGTAAATGGGAGTACAACGTTGACAATCGGAGAGGTCAAGTTCTTGAATAGATTTCGCCCAATACTTATCTTTGTACCTGTCCTCTTTGGCAGCATCGATTTCATGCCTAAGTTCCCTCTCTTTGTCCTAGTTGATTTGGATACATGCCAGTCATATAATAATGATTCTGCCACAAATGAGAGAGGCAATGAACAAATTGAAAAATTGGGAGACACGAAAGTAGAATCAATTAAATAGATGAAAAGGCAAACAATAAATAAGAACACGTACTTTTCTCCATAACACCAGCAAGGAATCCATCTGCAAACCAGATACATTAGTGGCAATCAAGGAATTCTCAGAAAGAAAAAGATAAACTATGGAATTGTCAAGAAGATAGTTTTACATTTACCTATATTTTCATAGCGCTTCCAAAAATGCGCTAAACCCTTCCATAAGATCAGGGTGCTTTCCAAGTAGATCAGAAACTTATAAAAAAAAGTTCCAAATATTAAAATTCACAATGAGGGTCTGTCTCAATGAAAAAAATTTAGAAACCAGGTTTGGATTTCATTTGACAGCCATTATTCTCAAATTTTTTGAACCCAAGAGAAGAGAGTGATCAAAGAGGGCATTTTGGGTACCAAAATCTATAACATAGATGAAAATACCTAACCAATTGACATTAATGGAGTTGAAACATGTTACATCAACTAAAGAATAGGTATATGTTTGACAGAGTAAAGTGGTACATTGTAGATCAAGACAAATTTGTTTTAGTACAGCTCGTGCGATTAAAGTTCTGCTGTTTGACATATCAAATACTACAATAACCCCTAAACAAATCTTCTTTTTTGTTGATCTTTTGACCTAGGTCCGTAGCTTACAAACAGAGAGAATAGATTTTAGGGAACTTATGTACTAACGCATCTTAGTTAAATCAAAAGTAAATTAAATGAAAAGGTGCTCCATAAATGTGTTACAATATTTAATATATCTTGCTCTTTTTCTGCTCTGACACATAAGCAGGTAACAAACATAAATTTTATCACAAAGCTTCTATCGCATAATTTCACAACCATCAGAAAGTGCAAGACATTCATCTTTTTTCCTTATTGTGTCACTGGATCCAATACCTCTATGTCACACTATACATTGTGTCTTCCATGATCAATACCAAAACATAACAACTTCTTTTTTAGATGAATAAATTGCTTCCTAAGATAAAAGTAGAGACAAAGACGATGGATAAAATTGGTTAATGATTATGAATGTTAAATTCTTTATCATCATGGAAAGACGAATGTGGTGGCTAACGCACTCAGTCGAAAAGAAAAGAGTGGAACCATCAAAGCCATTGCATTACGAGCTAATCTGATCCCTAATATCCTTGATGAGATTTTGGGAGGTCAGAATGAAGCGATAAAAGAAGAAAATATAAAAGCAGAAAGGATTAAAGGCATGTTAGTAAATTTGGTAAAAGACGAACGTGGAATTTTATGCTTTGAAGGAAAAATTTAGGTGCCTCATTTCTGTAATATTCAATAAATAATATTTGATTCACCCAGGTACTAACAAGATGTATAGAGATTTGAAACCAATCTACTGGTGGTCGGGATTGAAAAAAGATATTGCACGATACGTAGAACGATGTCTGACGTGTCTACAAGTGAAGATAGAACATCAACGACCCTATGGGAATTTAAAATCTTTAGAAATTCCAATATGGAAGTGGGATCATATAACAATGGATTTCATAATGAAGCTTCCACGAACTCCAAAATGGTATGATGCTATCTTGGTTATTGTGGATCTCTTGACTAAGTCTTTACATTTTCCACCAATTAAAGAGACATATCCATTGGAAAGACTTGCAAATATTTATATTAATGAGATGGTGACTCGAAACAGTGTCCCGTTGTCAATT